ATCATTTCTGGTGGCTCGGATTAACAGACGAGGTGACAGAGGGCCAATGGAAGTGGTTTGACACGGACGAGGTTGCAACGTTCACAGGTATACATTGAATTACTACAGATATTGAAAATGTATATACATATATATCATATTCTTTAACTTTTCTTTGAACACGCTCACTTAGTTTGTACAAATTTATTTAAGTTCGATTGTGTTGGAAGCTTTAGGCTTATAAACACACTCCCGAATCTGATCCAGGAACTAACAAGTAATAAGCTATGGATGTAAAGTTTTTTGCTAAAGAAAACAACGACTTTCTCTGACAGGATTTGAACCCACGCGGTCAGCAATCTTAAGAATACTAGTCCGACGCGTTCACCAGTGTTAACCACTCGTTCACGCCGCCAAACATTTCATCGACTACCTTACAGTAACATTTATTTAATTAAAGATTATGTAGTCTTGAAATGATTTATAAAACATTGTAGTTCAAGTGCTCAATTTTAAACAATTTCGTTTTTAGCGAAAAATAATATAAATGACAAGAGGGCCCTTGGGCCCTTGGTCGCTCACCTGAGGCATAGGCGTAACTATGCCTGTATTTAGAGTTTGTGAAGACATTCTTAGTTTCAACTGAACTGGGTAAAGTGATCTCAGTTTTACAAAGGTTTCGCCAGGATCTGATCGGGTGACTTAGTTTCGGAACCAGTATGACTTAGTTTCAAATCTGCACTAGGTCTTGTTGAGATATATATGTTGACAAATATCTTTTGGAATAAATAAAATCGCAAAACTGTATGTGGCCAATGCTTAAAGATGTAAGAGAATAACACTATATGTCAAATTCGGTAATTCTGCGTTTCCTTGTTCGTTTTTCGTATAACCTGCAAATGTGGTGTCATAGTTTTGATAACGAAATTTCCGGAAACTGACATTGCAGTATTGTTGCCCGAGTCACGTGATTTATGCAAGAATGTTGTTTCTGATGAGTTCAAAAAACGTATCAAATTGCTACTAAAAGTGCGTTTAAGACTTGAACAATACAGAAATTTAGCTCTACATTATAGTAAATTAGCATTATTGTTACATAAGACTGGTACCCGGGTCAACCGAATTTAGCCAGTGAGGACTGTGCCATTTATTATGACGCATATCAGTTCCAGTGGGGAGACATTCCCTGTACGAGAACATGTAATGCAATATGTGAGACAAGGTATTTATTTAACACATACATTTCTAGATATTTAGCACACTATTTTTGGTTGGGTTTTACGTCGCACCGACATAGTATAGGTCATATAGCGACTTTCCGGCTTACTGATGAAGGAAGACATCAAGTGAAAGAATCAGAAGTCCCTGTCGGGATTCGAACCCAAAGACGTTTATTGAAAACATACCTTTGCAGTTTTTGCGACTCTGTCAACACATTTTATTGGACAGATGTGCAATTTTTTTGTAATCACGTCATAAGTTACACAAATTCAAAGTAGTTGTGCTAAATGCAGTGTATTCTAATATGGAACTTGCACTCATTCAATTTTCTCTACATTTGTATTTATTATCTAACTTGATCATAATGTGTGTAAATGTATCAACAAGTTCGAGTCGATAGCAATGACAGCGTTATGACTGAAATACAAAGCATATTTATCAACAGAGAACTAACATAAAAATTGGTATTTTATTTTAATTTCGTATCTTTTTTTATTTTTCAGTGGAAAGGGAGAATCCAAAATAATTGGTTAAAGACAAATAGAAATGCTTGTTAAAACAGTTAGATTAAAATTATATATCAAGAGTCTATTTTTAATAATTAATAAGAATTGTACATAAACTCCTGGATGTATGTAAATGTATGTTTCCTATATGATAATACATAATATACTTTGACGTCATACAATATTGACTACAATACTGAATTATATTGGACAAGTTCACAGGTTCAAACCCTATATTGGACGAGGCGCTAGCCAAGTCTCATACACGTTTTACAGCTGTGTACGAGTCCAATAGAATAAGTATTGTACTCAACAATGGATAATGTCCTTTGTATTTTACCATAAATAATCATAAGGAAAACACATTAACTAAAGAAAACATTCATCATCAAATCTACATTTTTTATTATATTAAAAGTAAAGTCACTTCAAGTTTAATTTGGATTTGATAAGATTTTTTTCGGACTCGACAAATGGAATAAAGACCAGATGAAGTCCAGTATGGATTTGATATGGAATGTTGGAACTCGATGCTAAATTGATAAGATTTGATCCAATAATGATTTATACTAAAATATCACACCGTGCAAACTCTTACATTTTATAAGCATGAAGTACAACGCAGTGTAACGCAGCGCAGCATAATGTGATACCATATTATGAGGTAACTTTATATTTTGAGTACAATACTGCATTTTTTTGACGAGTACACAACTGACAAAACTATATTGGACGAGACGCTACAGTCTAATCTGTGATAATGATGATGATCTTTTTAATCCTTTACATCACTTTGTTACTAAACCATTGTGTCACTACAGTCACGCCGTGGCACTGATTTATACATATAGTTAACAGTTAATCAAAATAAATGAGGGTTCGTAAAGGTCTTAATTAAATCATGTCTTTAAGATATATGGATATAAAGTTCAATATCTTAGCAAAAATAGCTTTTTTACGTAACATGATTTAAATCAATAATTCAATTTGAATGTTGAGAGGTTTCTAGATATTATTTTAAGATTAACACCTGTTTCTTTCAGAGTAGTTTTCAAGTTTTATAACTCATCTAATCACCTTGTTATGTGATATTTAACTAAACCGAGTATGTATGTTTTTGGGGGTTTTTTTCAACTGAATATCGAACGTTCCAGTGTTATACAAGTTGATGAATTGAGAGGACGGCAGTAAGTCGTGTATCAATAGACATAAAGTCTAGATACTAATTAATAATGAAGTTGTTTTGCAATGGTTCAAAGTAGCATAACTTATCACCTGCCTACATCAATTCCCACAATCTTGTGTTTTAAATATAGCAACTTGAATTATCTAATATATATCGCAATTATTTGCATGTTTTGTTGTTAATAGTTTTAGCTTTGATAGGATAAGAATGTTTAATACTACAATTCTATCGCCAGTTTGCAAATGTCGTGACGGAACTACCGAATTTTTATATCTACAAGATTACTACAAGATTACACACTGTATGATGAATAAAAACATAGACTTGTATGTAATATATTACATTTAAATATCATTAAATTATTTTTTCGAAACTTATGATATCATAACACACAATAAATTAATCATCAGACAGGAAGCAGGTATTAATAGTATCCGCTTAAGATTAACACATATAGTCATTCGGGATGAATTTCACTATACTTTTACAGCTATCGGATTTTTCCCGACGTAATATCGATTATAAAACCAGTATGAGACCTGTAGATTAACCCGGTCCATTTACGTACTGAATGTATCGATTAGTGCCGGTATTTACACTGTTGCTGCGCGATTTTAATTAAGAAATGATATAGGACGATTGTTTAACTACTAAAGGGACAGCAAAACGTCATCCGTTGAGAATAAGTTTAAACATAGATATTGATTTAGAGTGATGATAATTTTTTATGAATGTATGTAATGGTGGACAATTTTGTAAGTATTTTAAACTTTCTTGTTGTATAATTATTTCTTAATGTTAGAGTCATTTCACTTTTTAACTTGATTTTTATTAATATTAATAAAGTTTACTGATGCATTGTTTTATTCCAAAACATTAAAAATCTATCTCAGTAGTCTCTCACGCACTTATAGAAACTTACTTCAACAGCACAATATATACATACGAATATGTTTTATATTTTTATAACGACTAGAAAAAGCATTTTGTTTGCATATTCCACTCGTGATTAACATGCTAATAATGATTTATACGTTTTAAGTGTGTCATAAATCATTTGTTTACAAGAGAAGCATCATTTTTTATACTAAAAACAAGTAGTATAAGTATTATGAAGTGTGTAATGTGCCGAGTAGCCTTTGCTTCCAAGTTTTCAGTAATTGAGGCATTCATTGGTACGTTTAATATATCACTTTCCTTCACTTAAAATTAAATATTTTTACGGTGAAGGGTTTATACATATATGTTATATCAATAAAATAACATACATTGATTTGCTGGATCAATTTTAAATGGATGAAACGAAACGTTTATATACGTTATTGATCCAAAATTGTGTTATTTTATACGGTTTCCAATATTTATTTTGGAAGGTCAAAGATTAATTTCTTTTCGACGTTTTAGTAGATATACATTTTAAATTCAATAATGAAAGACCAGCAGTTACAATGTGCAAATTTTCACCTATAGGAAACCATAAGCTTGACCATTGAAAGTTGGAAATAAATGAATGTATGCCTAAAAGGTAAATAACAAATATCTGATGAATATATCTAGTGGATATCCGTAGATTTGAAATTTCATTTAACTTAAAGGGATTTCAATAACTTTATACAAACATTGAGACACCAGCAGTATAAAGAATGGTCAGATTGCACGAATGGCTTGACTCTATACTCTATATTTGATACGATACGATACGATACGACACGACACAATACAACATAACATAAATTAACGTAACATAACATAACACAACACAGCAAAACACAACACAACACAACCCAATTATCATATTATATATATATATATATATCATATCATATAGTAACTTTGTGGCATTCTGATGCTATGTATAAATTACAATATAATTATAAATAAACACGATCTGTATTGCTGTTGTGTGAATCATATATAATTATTATTGTTAAGGATTTATATGTTTAATAGACTGAATAATAAAGCTCTTAGTAATGAAATGTAATCAAAAGATATTTTTTCTGCCACAGCAAAATTTTGACTACTATCGTAATCATTTTTTCTCAAATAGTTTAAATGAATAAATGCCTAACTCATGGTATTTATATGCATTGATATAAAAAAATATTTGAGCCGCGTCACGACAAAACCAACTTAGTGCTTTTGCGACCAGCATGGATCCACCCCAGCCTGCCAATCCGCGCAGTCTGATCAGGATCCATGCTGTTCGCTATCAGCTTCTCTGCTTGTTATAGGGTTTGTAAGCGAACAGCATGGATCCTGATCAGACTGCGCGGATACGCAGGCTGATCTGGATCCATGCTGGTCGCAAACCCATTATGTTGGTTTTGTCGTGACGCGGCTCAATTATGCATTGATATAAAAAAATGTTTTTGTTTTATTAGGACTAGACGACACAATGTATGTTGACATCACACAATTCGCAACAACGATTGTCTTCCTTGTGGCAGCTTTGTTTACAGGTTAGTCTTTTTTTACTGATTTAGAAGTATATATTTAAACAATAAAAGATAAAACTTTTAGAATTTGTATATGTTAGATCAATATGTAAGTGTTCTATTTATTTTATACTAACAAAAAATAAACTTTACGTTATACATCGTCGGCACATAAGGGAACTATATTCGGGTAATAACAGTATTTTCCTCAGGATGATATTTTTTAAGTTGTAATTGAGGTTGTATACCTCTCTTACGTGAAATTATATAGAACAGAACAGAATATTTATTCACGTATACAATACATGTATCTTGTTAATACAACATCAAATTAAATACATACAATGATAATGATAAGAACGTGATAAGCAAACATGTTTTCAGTGTTTCACAGAGAATTAACAAATTATCATAATTGAAATAACTTCAAAGTTGGTGTTTAAAGAACCAGCACGTTATGACAATCGTATGTGGTAACAACATACACATGTATTTAAATGTAACATAAATATAACATATTGAAGAGCAAAACTTCGATATAGACATGTCAAGATAATACTCACTTAAGGAAAAAAAGGTTAGAATCTCGATGTATATACGTTTTCAAATAATACTGTCTATCTTATAGTCTAGTAACGTTTTCATTTCAAACATTTATTAACTTCTTTTCTAATTTTATTGTTGATCAGAACGCCTTGATCAATTCTTGAAATTGAAACATACTTTATATATGCATATAATTATGCTAATACAACAATTTTCAAACATCAACTATTTGTACATATGAAATGTAATCATTTAATTATATGCATTCATCTCTTATTGGAAAATTTAACTTAGAAATTATAGAAAATAAATTTCTAATTACCTCCCTTTATTTACATGAAATATTAAATTCGGTAATATCTTTATAAATAATGCTTTTTGAAACTTACTGTACAATATTAATAAATCTTAATTTGAGCATCATATTTGTTTATACAAAACCATTAAAAATGTGTTACAGGATCTTTAATGATTCGTGTACCCGCCAACCTATGTGTTATTCGTATACTGGCGTATTCACTTAGCTGCATAGTAAGCGTACTGCAGTAAGCACTGCATTTTTACTTTATTTTTATACAGATGTATGTAATGGCGGTAGTTACTGTATGTATCTACATGAAGACTATTATACCTTCAATCAGAAATACTGTGAGGCCGGATGCTGTAATGATTACGGGGATGAGGATGAGATATGCTGTTTCTCGTGGTATAATACTTTATATTTCTCATATTTTCACGTTCGTTTGTCCCTGTCATATGGTGTTCCGTTTGGACAGTCGTGATTTTTAATTTAGTCTGTTACCGCGATGCGCGATGGTACGATGGTAAAAACACGATAGTACGATGATGAAAACGCGATGGTACGATAGTGAATTCGCGATGGCGCAAAAGTACGATGGTGAAAACGCGATGTTACATCGCGATGGTGCGATGGAACGATGGTGAAATCGCGATCGTACGATGGTGAAAACGCGATTTCACCAACGTACCCTCGCCTTTTCAATATCGTACCATCGCGTTTTCACCATCGTACCATCGTGCCATCGCGTTTTCACCATCGTACCATCGTGCATCGTGGGTACAGACTAAATAAAAGTCACGATTTTCCAAACGGAACACTGTACTGTCCGGATATAACAATACAGCGAATGCCTGTTTTAACTATTAACTAAAGCTTTCCATCAAATTTAGGTGCTTAATTTAATTTTAAAGTGTTAAACACTTAGAATTTTAAATAGCACTCGCCTAAAATGGCTTTAGATCAATCTTTGAGAATTTTTTATAAGTAAATCACTTATAAAATTGTGTTTTCACTTAAGTCGGAGAATAGTGACTATGTCTAACCATATTGTACATTATAACATGTATTTATCGACATATATCACTTTGCGTAGCGAATAAACATACGTGGGAAGCTCTCGCTTTGTAGTATGCGCTGCTTTCATACCGTTGTGTAACATTATATCAATAATACATACGCCGTTATATGTCTCAACGACGCTAAATGTCGCACTTGCCGCTAAAATGTCGCACTTGCCGCTTAATGTCGCACTTGCCGCTAAAATATCGCATTTGCCGCTAAATGTCGCTAAATGTCGCACTTGCCGCTAAATGTCGCACCATTGTCACAAAATATTGCAACCACCGCTATATGTCTCAAAATTTGTTGCCGTTAAGTGTCGCAACACTACCATTAAATGTCGCAATATCAAAATTCATGTTAAACAACTCGTATTATGACAATATTAGACGAGCCAAAGAGCCCATTTGAATATGTTTTTCATTTAGCAACCCAGATGTTGTGGATGAGATGGATCTAACTCACCGAGAAGTTTATTCTAGAAATACTCAATGAAAAATCAATCTCAGATCAGATTTTTTTTTATATTTTGTGTTTGCCTTTTAACTCCTGTGGTTTTATCGATATTAAAAGTATTATAATATACCTGTTATTTTTTGCCATAATCATGTTACAGTTTTAAAAATGCAATCATCTCATGTCAAATATGTAAAATAGCAAACCAGTGTGTCATTTCTTGAGTTCTTGAGAATGTTACAGGCGTCCAAAGTGAAAATACTGTCATTGTAGGCAGCAATGTATTCCTCGAGGTTACCTATGATGACGGTATATGCTCTTTAACTTGCTAACATTCTGACAGAAAATCAAGCTCACTGTTTTATTATCTTTATTCGTATCGTACCTTTATCAATAATTTGAGCTTAAAACTATCATTTGTAACAATTTTCTAATGACAGAAACAATGTTTATATGAAAGGTGCATTGAAAAAGCTTTTTATTGGCACGCAGTTACAAGACAAAACAAGATTGGGAACGATCAAATTTTCCTATATGTTATGTGTTCAAAGACGTAGGGTCATTCGTCATGTTTTCAGGTAATGTGAAATGACATTGGATTGACGAACTCCGTGTGCTTTGAAATTAAGTTTGCTGTGTGTCATTAAAAAGTGTTGTACTATCGCATTCATAACTTTTCCATCTTGAGCAAATATAACAAATAAATTTTAAAGGCATATTTAAAGTTACTTAGGCATAAAGCAGATTGAAATATGTATAAAAGAATTTGTTAAAACTTTAAATGAGCTTAGATAAAAAAAAATAATTGTGTAAATATGACCACTATTACCAACACTGCACCTTTTACACTTTTAGAACCGAAATGATTTTACCAGTATATCATCCTTGCAGACTAAACTAGCTCTGTATTTATGGCTAACTTTAGAAATTTCAGTCTTGATATGCCAGATTAATAGACAGTTCTAAAAAATGGCAGCTTTGAAAAGTGAATTTACAAATTCAGCGGGTAATATAAGACTTGTAAATATGTATAGTCTTACCAGTGTTAGAAATGTCGGCTGCTCAAGTTTAATCTTTTTTTTCTTGCAGTCCATTACTTTAACTTTTTATAACAAGTAAAATAAGTCGAATATAGAAATGAATTGTGTACTTCGCCAAAAATGCCCCCAGGTTAACCGTAAATATTTGAAAACAAAGTGTGAAATATATCTTCAATATTTATTGAATATAAAACGTTTTTGAAACGTTTATGTTTTGCAAAATTGAAATAATTCTGTCACATACAGAGAATGAAAAGTAGAAAAATATTAAAACTCAAAATTTTCCAAGAAATCAGATATGATATTTTTAAAATTTCAAAGTGGACGTAAAAGGACTTAAACTGATACCCCGCTTGATTTGCATAACTATTGTTGTATATAAACCAATTCATGACACATCTGTTAAATTTAGCCTCCTTATCAATAACGATAAGGCAATGGCATAATTTTAAAGTCTGCCCTTTTTCATAAGGGCGGACAACTCTTTGTCCCTTTCTTGTAAGAGGAGGGGAATCCTGTGATGCGTGTATGTGGTCGCACGGTCATTTTCCTTAAATGTCCTCGATGCATGTATGTGGTCGAATGGTCGAAAATCTTAATGTTCTAAAAAAGCTTGAAATCGTAATAAGAATTTTAAAAGCCTCACTACAACTCTTTTACTTCTTTTAAGGAATTTTAAAAAGTCTAATAAGAACTTTTTTACTTGTAATTAAAAATAGCCTAATTAGGACTTTCATTGTCCTAAATAGGAGAGATAAAAGATCTTAATACAATTTGTAAACCAAGTAGGAATTTTTACTCATAATTAGGAGAATTTAACCTAATAACAACTTTGTAACTATTAATAAGAAATTTCAAAAGCCTCATAAGAAGAAATTAAAGCATTATTAGGTGTTGAGAAATATAATCTTAATTAATAAATTCAAAACACTTAATATATAAATGAAACCTTATTTTGACTTAGATCCTTCAAACAGGGGGTTTCTATACCAAGAAAAATAAGAATTTTATATTTCTCCTAATAAGTGATTAAAACTTCTAATCAGGAAATGGAAAGTCCTATATAGCTTTTAAACATTAAAAAAGTCCTTTTAAAATTTTTAAAACTACTTAACAGAAGTAACAAAGTCGTAATTAGGTTTTTATAACTCTTTATTACGATTTCAACAGTTTTTTACGAACATTAAGATTTTGCACCAAACGGTTCCGTAACAAAACTCCTTTGAAAACGTTGTCAATATATTAGAGATTTTCGAACACTTACAGAGGACAAGTAAGGAAAGTGACCGTGCGACGAAATACATACATACCAGGATACCTTCTTCTCTAACTAGAAATGGACAAAGAGTTGCCTTCCCTTTTACTACAGGGCCGTTTATAAAATATCCATCTCAAGCTGATGCCGTAGCTCGAAACCACGACATCTGGGCTGCTAAATGAAAAACGTATACAAATGTGTTTTATCACTAAGGAGGTCTTTGGCATGAATTGTGAGCGTCAATTTTTAATACCGACTAATTTCAACCGATTACGTTGTACATCAGAGCAAATCATTTTTTTTTCTATCTGATAGATAGCTAGTCCCTAGATCACCTACATAACGTTAATATTGTCATAATACGAGTTGTTTAACATGAATTTAGATATTGCGACATTTAACGATAGTGTTTTGACATTTAACGATAAGGGAAAATGGTGCGACATTTAATGTCATCATTGCGACATTTAACGGCATAATAGTTTGAGACATTTAGCGCGGTTGCGACTTTTAGCGACAACAGTGCGACACTAAGAGGCAAGTGCGACATTTAGCGATAATAGTGCGACATATAACGGCGCAAAAATGTAGACAGTATTTTCCCAAATATACATAAAGTGAATAGGTCTGTAATTGGAGGTCTGTAATACATTTAATTTTTATGTTAATTTCATGTGGTGTTAGTCATAACACCAAACAATTAAATAATTATATATGGATGTTGTTGGCAAGGGTGAAATTCAAGATTTGAAAAAAGATTCTAACAAAATATTCTGATTCATCATATAAATGTTTATATTAAATCACTTAAAAGTTCATCAACATTTTCTTTTCTCAAACAATATTTCAGAAGAATATCCAAATGATACATTCCTATTGCTTTTATCAATGTTAAAAACACTTAGTATGGAGAATGTGCGGCTTAAAGACCAATCCACTTTAACTCGACCCTGGTATCAACATTGTGACCTTTAAACCAGTCTTCTGTTTACATGTATGATTTTAAATATTGATGAAGAAATATCGATAATGTCTAGTATTCAGTCAGGTCTCGCGAGTTCACGTGTGACATAGAACATACGTAGGCCATGAATAATTTATACACCTTTAAGTAGATCGCCGTGGCGTTATTCTCAATGGAAATTTGTTAAAAAAAGTAAATATAACTATTTGGTAAGACTGCTAGTTAAAACAAATTGAGTTTGAAACTTGCGGTTTTACCATTGTTTTACCATTGTATAACGAACTGTTATATAAATAATAAAAATAGCACGTGCCGTCACATGACAGGACAGAGATAAAGATACAGACTATGGTAGACACATCTTAAAATATATCAAATAATGTAACAGATTGAACACTCCTCAATCCCATACTGGAATCAAATTCATGAAATTTCATTCTTGTATTAAAGTAGATTGGTGTAGAAGGGACATATTTTCCATAAGCATTTCAAATGTTGATAAAAATAGAAATTTATTATCTCTACCATAGTACATATGTATATCTCCTCCGGTTTGAATTCGCATTTATTTTAAATTCATGGAACATGATTCTCTGCGAGACTGTATCATATAAATTTTATCTGCTTTATTTATCTGTGATGTACTTAAATGTTAGTAATCTTTTATTTTCTCAGCTGACCAAATAACTTTGATGTATTGTCTACATTAACATGAAAATGCTTGGTACTTTTGAAGCGTTTTACATGTTTTCAAGTTTTAGCTCACTCCTCTTTCATGACAGTAAGTTAACATTTTAAGACTGTTGGAAAACATACATTAACATTATTTATTTTTTTATCTATTTTCAGGACTGTTGGAATAATTCTTGGAGTATGTTTTGCGTGCATTGGTTTTATAGCGATCGTGGTATTTGTCATCATATGCTGTTATACAATGAAGAAAAGAAGTCGGGCTGGACAAATAATAAATCCTGCACCACAAACCACACAAAATAACATGGTCGTTTATACTGGTATGTTTTAAACTTGATTGTTTTTCTTGTGATAAGAATATTTTAGTAATGAGGGCGTTCCATACATAAATATCGTAGAAGTGAACTGATACAAATTACCGGAACTGGTATTATTAATATACAAATATACAAATGAGCTGTGTCATGACAAAACAAACATAATGGCTTTGCGACCAGCATGGATCAAGACCAGCCTGCGCATCCGCGCAGTCTGATCAGGATCCATGCTGTTCGCTATCAGTTTCTCTACTTGTAATAGGGTTTGTAAGCGAACAGCATGGATCCTGATCAGACTGCGCGGATGCGCAGGCTGGTCTGGATCCATGCTGGTCGCAAACCCATTATATTGGTTTTGTCATGACGCGGCTCAAATGAACTATTTTAAACTTTACCGGAATTTCTCCACTTTGGTATGACTAATTGAAAAATTATCGAAATAGCGGAAGTGCCGGCGTTATATAGTTTTACATTTCGAAAAGAGAACAAAGACTGATTAAAGTCAAAGCTATGTTGTTGAGATAAATTGAATCTATGAAGAATTTATTTCATTAAATGTAGCATATGTTTGAACTCAATGCGAGAAATGAATGTCCTTAAAATTGTTTAAAGAACACTCAAAATAACGAAAGGCAGCCTGTCCATGGACGATAGTGTTAAGGGGAAGCTACCGTCCACGCCCCTAGCACCAGCATAAACAAAATTCAACATTTAATATTAGAAATGGGGAAATTCAGAAATATTGTCATCTCTGTTATCTTTGGAAAAGAGATCGGAATAAAATCACTGCTCAGATCATTTAATCTTTATTTGTTCAATTTATGTTGACTGGCAACAAATAAACAGTTTTAAGCTTTAAGGTTATTATAGAAATAATAGAATAAACAAGGTATTTAGTCTTAGTTAATTTCTTCTTACTTTTTTAGCTTCAGCGGGATATTCATATCCTCATCCACCGTCAGCATTTTACCCTGGATCCCGGTTTCCAGGGCAACCAATGGCTCCACCTCCTTATACAGCCGGTACTCAACCAGCGTACCCGCCCACTTATTCTGACCAATCACAAGTCCCACCTCCTTCTTTCGCTGGATTATACGGTCAACAGCATACAGGTCAAGCACCTACAATGAATGGACAAAGTGGACAATCTCAAAATAATGACCAACAATATGGCGGATACGGGACGGGACAGTCTTAGCAAAAATATTTATAACACACCCAGTATGCAATATGCGAAGAACGCCGTCCATTTTTACACATTTATGCAACTTACTCATGTCATTTACTGTTGATAAATACATGTATTGTGTAAGTCATTGCTTAAAATGCAAAGTTAGCAATCCCTGAATGTTCGCAGTTTTTATGTTAATTGAGAATGTCTGTTTAAACAAACATTATAAAAGTATATATTGTAACGCTCGTTCCTGGTCAGACACCATGTTATACATGATTTAACACTAAGTCTTGTTATATCCCATCAAAACACCGTGACCTTTTAGTCAGCTTTTCCAAATTCATCATGATATAATATGAAATTAGGCAAAGCCTATGAACGGGGAAGTTGTTAAAAATTCCTTTCATTCTTTCCGTTTTAAAAGTGTCATTCGGTATTATATGCACCGCTTCCGTTTTCACTCGGAACACTCGACGATTATCATTTATCCGAAAAGTTGAGATTTGTTCCGTTATCGGAATACCCCGCCTATTATCATTGCGTTACATTGTAAATGGCGGCGCCCGACTAGAACTGACACTGAAAATTTCATTGATAGGTATAGAATTCTATATATTTTTTAATTGTTTTTTATTTCATTTTCTTTTAAATATACACGTGTAGTCTATAGCCGGGCAAGCCAAAGCCCGGACCCGCTTCGCGGGCCCGGTCTTTGACTTCCCCGTATTAATTACACTAAGCATGCTGGAACCGAAGGAGATCAGAGACGACATCTTTAGAGTCAACCCAGTTTGCAAATGTATTCAGATTATCAAGGTTCTATTCTATTTCTAACTTGCTTTTTATATTTACTATGATAATGAAATCACTAACTTTGAAAGGACTGTTCCAAATTCAAATTACGTACAGATCTATTACATAAGTTCATCAGAGTAAGGTGAAGATCTATCGATTTGAAATATTGATAATTGTAGCCAGCTATGTCTTACTTAAGGAACGAAGTATCCTTACATGTTAGGTTATTTTACTCTCTTCATAAACTTGTGCCGCTACTGAGACTGCTTCGTAAAAGCGGTGTGTATTTAATATGAGTAAGTGATGAAAAAAAGATGATATTCATGAAACTTCAGTACAAAATTAACCATTTTTTTCATTTTTGAAGAAAAACATAATTTATTTCAACTTGTTCAATAACTTCAGCATTAAACATACACTCATCCAATATCCTTTATCTGTGTTGTACATTATCTTTTATAAAATAACATTTTGTTTCGTCAACGGCAATAAACTGCTTTACGACTAGTAACAAGGCTAAATGGTTATTGTCATATTTATTTATATTTTAAAATGTGATTGTTTTACATTTTTACACTTGTTTAAGTTTTGCATCGTTGAATAACAAACAAGAAAAAGGATAAACAAAAATATGTACATGAGTTGCGTCAAAATTGGCAGAAGTTACAGACAATAATGTGTTGTTATATTTTTTCATACCATTTTGTTTTCAAATAAAGAGAATCAATAAATTATTACTACTTTTTATTTATTTATTTTTTCAATGTAAACTAGCTATACTGACTAAGCCAGCATTTAACTAAATGATAACTACTAGTATTACCTTTCCATCTACATAAGACTAGTTTCCACTGTTCCCTGCTATATATGATTAAAAAGTTTTGATGAAATAACAACTCGGAACTGAAGCAAAAAACGAAGGAAAATGGGATGTCGTTTTACTCCGACAGACGGCTTTGTACGGTGGCACTAAGGTGACATGTGTGTGTTTTTATTTATCTCGTGGCCACGAGATACTATGTCGTGGCCACGAGTTACTAAATCGTGGCCACGAGATAGCTAAGTCGTGACCACGAGCTACTATGTCGTGGCCACAAGTAACTAAGTCGTGGCCACGAGATAGCCAAGTCGTGGCCACGAGTTACTAAGTCGTGGCCACGAGTTATTAAGTCGTGGCCACGAGATACTAGAGCGTGGCCACGAGTTACTAAGTCGTGGGCACGAAATAGCTAAGTCGTGGCCACGAGTTACTAAGTCGTGGGCACGAGTTACTAAGTCGAGGCCACGAGATAGCTAAGTCGTGGCCACGAGATAATTAACCAATCAGAATACACTATATACATGTATATTATGAATTTTTTAAACTTAACAACTTACTTTTACATGCAACATTTATCTTTGAAAATACTGAAGATATTCACTTTGAACTTGTCTTTAAGATCATATTAGAAAGTCACCTTCCAAGGCCCATTAGATATTAATTTTGACTATAGTTTGGCAAGTTTGTGATCGAATTGGTCAGTTTATACTTACTACGACCATTTAACCTTGTTTATACGATAACATGAGAAGGAATAAGTCCTCGTTTATTTCATTTGTAAGGGACATTGCTCATAGACAGTATATAGTCTTTAAGTTAAAGTCCTTGTCTGATGAATAATTTAGAAAGGATAAGTCATTGTTAATGTAACCCAGAAAGATCACCGCACATGATCAGTAGATGACATCTAATAATTTCGAGGTCATTGGGTCAAAAATCAGGGTCACAGTGAAGCTAAATGTAAAAATATTCACAAGTAACTAAGTTGTATAAATAGCACTTTTACAGGCTGTCGAATTTTGAACTCGAGACCTCTCACTCACTAAGCGAGCGCGTTACCACTGTACCACGGAGAAGTTATACTCAGATGGTCTGAATAATATCAAGTCATTCTAAATTGAGAACTTCCATTGCATTTCGGGTTTGTAATCCTTATTAATTTCGAGGTATTTTGTTCAGGGAAAACCTGTTGTTTAAAATTGAAGTAAATATTTTAGCGAAAATCCTCTCGCCCAAACAGTCCGACATGTAGAATCTATATATTCCACTACTCGGTTTGTGTAGTATTCGGTTATAAATAGTATTTTCATTGATAAAATCATATTCATCCGCGTAATTTGTGATTGTGCATTTATTGACAATTCTATAAGCCAACGCTATTGTTTAACTTTAAATGCGTTGTAATTTGTTGGATACTTGTAACAAAATAAAATATTTCTTTCTTTTAAATCGCTAGTTTTAAGCTGTTTTGAGAACTACTTGTTGTTAGGTTTGTTGTAAACTTCTGTGTCAGAGATTGAATGTCCGCTTTGTATTTAGTTATTTTCGATCAGAAAATACAATAAAACAATATTAGAAACCTTCGACCATTCGGGAATTACTGTGCTTGAAAATTGATGCGCCTGTCTTTGACCATCTTTACGCAGTGATCTCCCCTGAATTTTTCGGCTTTAGTGTACATACAAAAGGGAAGTAACCGCTTCAAAAAAGTGGACTACTTTCGGCATTTGCAATTAAGAACATTATACTCTGAAATTTCGCTACCATTATTTGTTTGGTCTGACGACCCAAACAAATAAAAAAGACAAAAATAATCTAGTATTTGTAATAAAATAAATTGATTTATTGATTATTTTACCAAATTCATAGTTCAGAGGTAGGTTGGTTCATAATCATGGCGGTAATTAAATTGTTTGTTTATCTTTAAAATTGTAACACGGTACCAAAAATAAAGCGGTTATTTTGTTTTGATATAAAAATAAATTACTGTATTTTATAATTTACCGCCAAAAATTTACTTGGCGATGAACATACATATATATTTTTTGCCAATTAGATGTTTCACTTGACATGAAGAAAACCCGTAGTCGAAAATCATTTGAAATTATGACCAGCTGATTCACCAAAGTCGATTTTTGTTAAGATTTAACAAATATATATCGAAACTTTGTTTGACTCAACTGCCCTTAATCACAGGCAAAATTTAATGCAGATGCAGAGTGCTTAGTATATTATTGTTCCGTCAGCAAATCTAATATGAACAGTACATGTAGTTTTTATCATGGTTTTCTTTGAAACTGTCTATATGCTGAAATTCAAGACACTACTCTTCTCTCATTCAAAGCGACATTCTTCTGTGTAACATATACATAATTTATCGTGTTTCTTAAATCTTACATCCGGACTATATCAACAACGCAAATAAGTCTAAAATGTAACGTGTATTTCTTCAGTTTAACATAGATTTAATACAAATCTATAAATATGAATATGCGAATTCGTTCCTCAGTCAGCATGTATGTGTTTCTTTTTGGATTATTCGAAGGTATTTAAACATCGTTTTTATGATTATCATAGTTTTTTTAAATTTTTGCTGCTATGTTGTGAATTCATTTTTAATAATATTTCACTTTAAATTTCTGTACGACACATCTAGATAAATAAAATGGATATTATAAAACCTAATGTGAGAAAAACAGATTTTTTAATACTGAAAAAAAATGAAATGGTTTGATATATATATTCAACAAAAAAAACACAACAACAATCAAAATAATTGATAATTAATCATAATAAGTTTTAAAAGCCATCAAACTTTAAAGAAACTTTAAAAATATTTCTGAATTAAACAAAAAGTACATTTCAGGTAGTTATGTTTCCGCTACCATGTGTTATTATTTGGATAAACAATCATATACAATACAACAAATGTCGTGTGAAGGGACATGTTGTGGGGACAATGGACAAGACGGAGAAATATGCTGTGGCGCTACTTGGTAAGTTGGCCTCCCTTTACTTATTCGTCTTATTCCCATATTGTCAGGGAATAGGTGCAATGTGGTATCTGTATAATTTTGCAGCGTACTTCATGTCAGTGTTATTATATTTCTCTATTCCTTCCTGTGATTCAATACTGTTAGCAATGAGAATTGAATACTAATTAAGCCGGTGCCTAGGGCATGTTTGTTTGTTATGTTGCTTTTTCGGCACACCAATACAGTTTACGTGCCAAAACAAGAAAGGTGATTCTGACTAACCTCGGGTGTTACAAAAATTAAAGCCATTAGCCAGGTGGTTCTAATAACCCCATTCCACTGACTGGTCAGTCAAAAACAGATAACTATAGACTCCTTTAAATTAATTCGAAAACCATTTAAAGACGCCTGGCGTTTCATCGCACAGGGTTTAACAGTGGTGGCATTTCTGTTTGCGAGCATGAGACATGTTGCAGTGTTCATTTTCTGACATGAACAGATTTAATAAGACCAGTTAAGCCATTACTTTCATAATATCCTTTTTATTTCAAACTATAACTTCATACGATGACATAATTTTAAATATTTCAGGTCTACTGGTTTAATCGCTGGTGTCTGTGTAGGTTGCATTGGTGTGATAGTAACCGCAGTTGCTGTATGTGTGTATGTTTGGTTGACGTTGAAGAAGAAACGTAAGTCTGGAATTGAGCCTCAATCAAATGGCAATGCGAACATAGAACTTCAGTTGAACAACAATCCTGTAGGTCATTCTAGAATAAGTATTAGAAACGTATCTCCCTGTAAGTATACATTTATGTATGTTTAAGTATGTGTTAAAATGTTTAGATCACTAGAGTGAAACTGTTCAATGATTATTTTTGACTGAACATTAAATTTTCATCAATTAAAACCTATTAATCTGTTATATGTTGAACAGGACACCGAGTTCATTAACTTAAGGGTTGTGTTGTTAAAATTTACGCTACAATTGTTTGAGTCATATCGTGCTGCTAATTATTTCTCTTATTTCTAACATTGAATACATTGTTGATTACATGCATATACAGTATGTCCCAAAAATGCGCTGTTAATTTAAAATGATTTACCTTGAATAATTTCATGTAATATAAACATCACATCTGCATGTTTTGTATATGAGCGAACATAAACATGTTACTATTTTTTATTTTAAAGCGCTGTCACATAACAGTCATGATATGCCGCCACCGTACAGTCCAAGTTTGACTAGACAAGCACATGGTCCAGGTTTGAATCCTACAAGACCAGTATCAGGTCACTCACAAACATCGCAAGTTTCGTGTATAAATGAACCTGACAGAATAGGAAAACCATCTCTACAGCCACCCCCATACACTGCACAAACAATGAGGTCACCGGCACGTGCTGGGCGACTAGCTCCGCATGTATACACGTTTCAACCATCACCGGCAAGAAGTCTTGCACCGTCAAGGGCTTGGTAGATAGTTTATACGAGTATATTGTACAAAAGTAGCAGTGTGCCTGTAACGGAGTTTATATAACTTTTATCATCAGATTACAGTAATAGAAAACTTCTAATAAATTACTATTTTGTTTCAATATTATGTTAATAGGAAGACCAGTTTTTGGCAATTGTTATAAAACAGCAGTAAGAAATCATTTTAAATTTGTTATCATTCAGCTATAGGGAAAATCATACTGTAGTTTCTCCCAACTGTGTGGCAAAGATACTTTCCTTTATGACATGTAATATTTTCCATAATCAAATGTATGTATTAAATCTGCTCCACATTGCCCCTTTACACGGACCAGACTCTATTAGCTGAAGATTCACATATCACCTTGAAAATAAATGCATTTTGAACTCTTATTTGGTTATAAATCGTACTCTATAGTCTGTCTTTCTGCCAGGTATGAAATAACAAAACGTGGTTGAATGATGAAAAAAACCTATCTTTGTTAACTAAAACAAGATTGTATTTGTGAAAAAAATGATTTGCCACCGCACGATACAGATTTCTACGAGGTTTTTAGCAATAAACATTGATTATTCAAAGCATAATTCTATTTGAAAGAGAACGGAAATTTTCCAAATAATTTCTGTGTGTGTTTTAGTTTTTATTTTAGCTCGGCGCCGGAAATTCCATATTTTCGAGATCTAAGCGACCATACCGGTCCACTCTAGAAGTCTAATCGGGGACGTCTTTTTCATGGCGATCTTCCTTATCCTGTTCTTCGTTCGTTGGAGGAAGAGACAATACTGGCAAAGCATTATGTTCCGTGACGGCAGCAAACAGGCGGTTAACATATAACGGCTCTTGTTAGCGCCACCATCCCGAGTTAGTCACGACAGGTAAACCAATCGTCTCTGGTACTTAAGACAACTTGACATTGACTTGCCGTGTGCCTTCTCCGCGACGTGCACGCCTCAGGAGGGATTTGGAGGAGAAATAATATTATATAATATATTATTAACCAGAGAAGCCATTTACACCGCAAAAGAAAATACAACATTTTTTGTAATAACTTTTTAGCTCACCTGAGCTAGCTAAGAGTGAGCTTTAAGGATCGTTGAATATCCGTCGTACGTCGTCCGTCCACACTTGTTCGTTAACACTCTAGCGGCCAAATTGCCTCAATCATCATCAAACTTTGTCAGGATGCTTGTCTCGGTAATAACTCGGATGATTTGGAACATTGGTCATCTTGGATGAAAAATAGGTCACAGGAGCTAAAAATAGAAAAAACCTTGTTAACACTCTAGTGGTCACATTTTTACTCAATCATTATCTAACTTGGTCAGGATGCTTGTCTAGGTAATTGCTCGGATAAAATTGAACATGGTCATATCGGATGAAAAACTAGGTCACAGAAGCTAAACATTAAATAACCTTGTTAATACTCTAGTGGTCACTTATTTAATTCAATTCTCACCAAACATGGTCAGGATGCTTGTCTAGGTAATTTCTTGGATGAGTTCGAACATCGGTCATCTCAAATGTTAAACTAGGTCACAGAAGCTTAAAATAGAAAAACCTTGTTAACAGTCTCGTGGTCACATTTTTAATTCAATTATCATCAAACTTGGTCAGCATGTCTAAGTTATTGCTCGCATGAGTTTGAATTGAACATGGGTTATCTCGGATGAAAATCAAGGTCATAAGAGCTAAAAATAGGAAAAGAAAACTTGTAACACTTAAGTTGTCACATTTGTGACACAATAGTCACAAAACTTGGCCAGGATGCTTGTCTTGGTAATTGTTTGGATAAAATTGAACATGGGTCATCTTGGATAAAAACTAGGTCACAGAAGCTAAACATAGAATAACCTTGTTCACACTCTAGTGTTCGCTTATTTATTTCAATTATCACCAAACTTGGTCAGCATGCTTCTAGAGGACGGATGAGTTCGAACATGGGTCATCTCAGATGAAAACCTAGGTCACAGGAGCTAAAAATAGAAAAAAAATGTATACACTCTAGTGGTCACATTTTTGACACAATAATCATCAAACTTGGTCATGATGCTTGTCTAGGTAATTGCTCGGATAAAATTTAACATAGGTCATCTTGGATGAAAAACTAGGTCGCAGAAGCTGAAAATGAAATAACATTGTTAAACAAAATAGAATAACATTGTTAACACTCTAGTGATCACACTTTTCGTTTTAATTGTCATCAAACTTGGTCAGAATGCTTGTATATGTAATTGCTCGGGTGAGTTTGAACAGTTGTCATCTCAGATGTAAAACTAGGTCACAGAAGCTGAATACAGAAAAACTTTGTTAACACTCTATTGGTCACCTTTTTAATTCAATTATCATCAAACTTGGTCAGCATGCTTGTCTAGGTAATTGCTCGCATGAGTTCAAACATGCGTTATCTCGGATGAAAAACTAGGTCACAGGAGCTAAAAATAGAAGAAAAAAAACATTTTTAACACTCTAGTGGTCACATGTTTTACTTAATTGCCATCAAACTTGGTCAGGGTGCTTGTCTATGTAATTGCTCGGATGGGTTTGAACATGGGTCATCTCAGATGTAAAACTAGGTCACAGAAGCTAAAATAGAAAAACCTTGTTAACACTCTATTGGTCACCTTTTTAACTCAATTATCATCAAACTTAGTCAGCATGCTTGCCTAGGTAATTGCTCGCATGAGTTCAAACATGGGTTATCTCGGATGAAAAACTAGGTCACAGGAGCTAAAAATAGAAAAAAAATTTTGAACACTCTAGTGGTCACAATTGTTACTTAATTATCACGAAACTTGGTCAGGATGCTTGTGTAGGTAATAGCTTGGATGAGTTTGAACATGGGTCATCTCGGATGGAAAACTAGGTCACAGGAGCTAAAAATAGAGAAAAAACACTCTATTGGTCACATTTTTTGACACAATCATCATCAAACTAAGTCAGCATGTTTGTCTTGTTACTTAATTATCACGTAACTTGGTCAGGATGCTTGTCTAGTTAATAGCTTGGATGAGTTTGAACAGGGGTCATCTCGGATGAAAAACTTTTTCACATTTGCTAAAAATATAATAAATTTGTTAACACTCTAATGGTCACATTTTTTATATAATTACCATCAAACTTAGATTCATGGTTAGGTAATTGCTCGGAATGAGTTAGAACAGGGGTCATCTCAAATGAAAAACTAAGTGACAGGAGCTAAATTTGAAAAAAAACTTGTTCACTATCTAGTGGCTACTGTTTTGATACAAATATCCTGGAAATTGGTCTGAAAGTTTGTTTTAATGATTTCTAGGTCAAGTTCATGGGTCATCTGGGGTCAAAAACTTGGTCACACCGCTCAAATATGGAAAAACCTTGTTTACACTTTAGCGGTCACATTTTTGACTCAATTGTGATTAAACTTGGTCAGGATGCTTTTCTAGGTAATTGCTCGGATAACTTGATGAACATGGGCCATCTCGGATCACAGGAGCTAAACATATAAAAAAATCTTGTTAACAATCTAGTGGCTACTGTTTTAATCCAAATATTCTGGAAATTGGTCTGAAAGTTTGTTTCGGTGATTTCTAGTTCAAGTTCGAATACGGGTCACCTGGGGTTAAAAAAACTAGGTCACACTGCTCAAATTTGGATAATCCTTGTTATCACTCTAGTGGTCATATTTTTGACTCACCTGTTATGAAACTTGGTCAGAATGCTTTTCTAGGGGAAATTGTTTAGATGAGTTCGATGGGTCAGGTGAGCGATCTAGGGCCATTTTTGCCCTCTTGTTTTATTTCTTTTTGCGAATAATTTCCATCATGAATCTCATGACTGGGTATAAAAATAATTTTAGAACTTTATCTACACATTATATTTGCTCCGACAGCGGTCGCAAATAGAAAATCGATCATTATGTTAAATTTCAGCTGAGAGGAGGAGTCAAATAAGAAAATTGTAAAATTAACACAATTAATATGCACCGACAACGGTTACACGTGTTATGTATGTCCGATATTTCACACAAACATTTTTGTTGTCCTTTAGGTCATATCATTGTGTTGCAAGAGCAAACGACAACGGTTGCATCAAGCAATTTACTAATATCTATATGATTAACAATTGAGTGTAATTTAAGCACTCCGTCACCCAGCATATAACATTTGTCCCAGTCATGACGAAGTGTTGTATGAAAGTTGACTCCTGAAATGTAAAACAAAGCACAGCAGAAAAAGGATTGCGGAGGATGGGAAATTAAAAACCTAGTTTAAGATTTTTACAAAAAAAAAATAAAAAAATATATGATCAGCAGCTTCATTTCTCATAGAGTTCCAGAACGAAAAGTCGAGCTGAACAAGCTTAATATTTTAAAAGATTGACTATATTGTATTATAATGCTGAATAACCAATATTTAGGAAAAAAAATCCGTTTGACACTTACCGCCTTGCCAATCCTATTTCAAAGGAATACCAATTGTGTTATATTATGTAATACATGGGTAATAAAATTTATCTTTAACACCCTGCTGTTTCAATTTAAATTACTGATGAAAAAGTCATTTAATGATACATTGAACACTTGAACAGAGGATTTTAGGTAATTGAATTATTAGTCCCGCTAATTTTGTATATCGTGTTATAGATATCAATTCACGTTTCAAGTTCTAATTGCTTTAATTCATCCCAATAATTCTGTTTTTCTGAGTGTCATAACTTGTAATCACGTTTTTGAAATCCTTCATTTACGTTAATTGAGTCTATCTTTATTGCGCTTTTGCCTTACGCAAAGCGCATGCGCAAAATGCAACATCGGTTGCTATGGAAAATCGTACAGTAAAAAAGGTCTATAGCAGTAGTATAACTATGGTAAATAAATGATAGATATGCAGCAGATTTGTGAAATAATTAACTAATTTGAAAATTTCAAAAATATGTCTGGAATGTTTAGTTTAATAGGAATATATAATCAAGTTTATTAACATTCCGTTTCTCTGATGGGAAAATGATAACGTTCTGAATAATTCAATTATAGCATTTGTTTGAGGAAATCGGAAAAAAGAACAAATTGCAATAAACGAGTTGAAATAAACGCATTGAAAAAAAAATCAAGAAGAATCTACTGTATTCTGCTAAATCTGTGGCACAAAACTTTATATGTTTGGGTCCGCCTGGGCTCCTTGCCATTGGTTCTTGTTGCTGGGTCATATGGGGGTTGCGTTCATTGAACGCCGCCTTTCCTTGTTGATCTTGTTTTTCATATTTTGGAAATCTAGAATGTTAGTGAACGAAACCGATAGGGGCATTTTAAATAATTATATGATTTTACGTATACACGATTTCAACTTCAGATAATCGGTATTGAAATTTTGATTCCTGCAACCAAAATTGTAATCTCCAGAAGTTGAAATTGTGAATTTTTGAGAATTCGTGAGTTCAGATAGTTTAACTTAAAAAATGATCAATTTGTGAAGTCAAAAGCAATAAGTGGTGAGATGGACATCACGAATACATGAAGCTGAAATGTCCCCATCGGTCTTTCATAATAAAATGGAATATGTTTGTTGCATGTAGCATTGTCATCATTATTAAGTCACTATAATGTATGACTGGTTGATAAAAAATGCCGTATTTTAATTGTTTGATTTCAATTTATCACGTCAAAGTTATTTAGATAAAATTATTTTCTATTTTATCTATCTTTATGGTATATTATGATATTCAAAGAGAAAATAATCCAGAATATAAAAAGAAATGATAAAATAAGCGCATGTTCACTGTTGCACAATAAAATGTCATGATAGACAAGTGTTTATTTCAAAAATATAGTTTATGCATTGTATTGCGTTGTTATAATGTAATGCAAATCAAAAATCTTTTCACAATTTCTTTGATGTTTTCTCTTTGAAAAAAAAACATGCTAGAACAAATAATGATTATATATTGTGCTTGAAGACAGTTATGTTGTGCAAGAAAATCGGAGCACAATACAATTCAAAAATTAGATTTGTTTTAAATTAAGTATGTTTGAAATAACAATTTTCCGAGTTTTATAAAAGTATGTGAAACATATTAAGGTATATGCACATTTGTTAAATAAAGTGAAGTATCATTTAAACCGTGTTTGCTTAATTTCACATTAAGTATAGTAAAATACCTGATAGAGTATAGAATATTTTACAATAATCGGTTATCACAAATATTATACGTTAGATTTTTATCAATACAAAAGTATTTAGATATAAAACAAAGTAAACTTAAGACATGTATTGTATGTACTATTTAAAACATCACGCGGGGGGAGACGGACAAAACCCTTAAACGTCAAAACCACCAAACCTCAAAATTTTATAGAGTGGACAAAACCCCACACCTTCATTTTATAGAAGGGGCATAACCCCATTTCATTAAGTGGTCAATATGGCAGTTTCCAATTATGGAGAATTAAGCTCCGCCTACTGGAATGATCGATTCTCATATGGTATAAAAATTTGAACACCATAAATATTGTATAATTTCTGATTTCTGTATGTAAAAAGCAAATTCGGGAAAGGCTGTAGAAAGGTCGGTTTTAGAAATGTGACTCATTTTCTGTGCATGTTAATTACCAATTAACATATTTCAGGAAACAGTCCAATGCCCACTGTTTTGTCTACAGAAAGGCAAACCAATTTTACAGACTGATATTTATCAAGAATATGATTTCGTTTATTCAAATAAAATAAAGAGACTAATGTGATCCCAACATGTTGCAATCACAGATATTAAAAATTCATTAACACGTGTGATTGATATAACCATTGATGATAAGCTATCGGCGGATCAAGCATAGCCCCTTGATGTTTAGAAAATCGTTAAATCTCGCACAATATGTGGGCAATTTTTAAGACTAAAATCCTTTTTATATTTTTAAATAATTTTTAAAGCGACACAGTCGCAATTCAAGGAATGATACAGGTACGAGGGCTAATGAAAATGTTCTCCATGTTTATTAAACTTTGGATAGAAACATAACTAGATTTCATGAAATCATTTAATCTTATAAATAAAGTTTAAGGCCCCATCCCCTCCCCCAACCCCCTTTTTTCAAATTAGTTCATGTATAGACTATGTACTTCAAAGAATATTTCTTCCAATTTTTATAATTTTACAATAAAAAAACAATATGAAATGCTATTTTCATAATTTTAAAGAGTTGTTGGAGAATGAATTTCAACTCAGCTGACCTATAAACAGTCGGCTAATACAGAAAACTATTGTGAAGGTTTGTGGTTAGCTCGTTAAATCAATGTTTACTTCACTTCAGAGTTGATCGTAACCTCTAATTTCTTTTCAAAATTCTAATTTGTTTAGTTCCCTCCCATTGCTTTTTGTTTAAAGCATATGCATTATTTTGCTTTAGAACCATACATCGCTTTTCGTGGAACGATACTAACGTACAACATTGGAGGTTCCATGATAATAGCCGTACGAGTATGACCACATCTGTGCATGTCTCATAATTCAAGATTTCACCATTTTCATGTTTAAATGTGAACAAATGATATCAAAGATCAAACCCGACACTTTTTAGGTGCCAAGTCGGTGCTTGGGACGTGAAAGGAAGCTTTCAATTATCACTTCCGTCCATGCGTTCACTGTATGCCGTCTATCCTTACTTTCTGTATTTCCACCATGTTGAACAAAGAGAAAGTCCACACTCCATCAGAAGTTATAATGGTTCATTTAGATGGTGATGATTTGCTTACTTGAAGTTTTTACAAGCTCAGGTAAAAGGTAGGGGAGAATAGAACCAAAATGAACATAACTCGGATGCAGAAGTGATATGGTATGAAATACTACAAAGTACACCTACTTGGCGATCATAAAGTAAACGGAGCAATAGAAGAGATGCACCGTATGTGAATGCCAGTTGACGGCAAGACATTTCATAAACGGCAGACACTGATTAGAAGATAAGGAAGACGGCATATTTCTGTCAAACATATCACATTCTTCGAGATGAAACATGCACATGGAAATGACTGGAATTTTCCGGATTAATTTGTAAATTTTATTGTTGCGGAATTCACGCTGTCTTCAATTTTGGTCCTTCATTGTTCAATTCATCTCTCACTATTGAAAGTATGAGATATTGTATAACTTAGATGAAAGATCGTTTACAATACAATTTTTTATTTACACAATCTGTCTGTGATTTTATAGAAACATTATATTCAACTCGTACAAAATACTTTTCATAGTAATGTGACTGAAGAGAAGGTTATATTAACATTGAAGCAAATGTCGATACAACTGGTGCTATTCAAAACGTCCAGGAGGCTCTGAAAACAATCGCAGACTGGGTTGGATTGAGTGTAATCATGAGGCTTTAAAAGCGGAATTTAGTCTTCAACATAACATCCTGGAATCAATGATCTAAAAGGGCAGCACTGATGTGAAGTAAAGTGCAATTGTTTATAGTCGTAGTAAAATAAATAAATAAATTAAGTAAGTCAATGTGTAGATATTCTACAAACAGCTCGATTTACTATAATTTCTATGTTAATGTTTTACATACTACGAAAAGGAAATTGTACTCGTACACTTGGTTGCTAACTAGTGCCTTAAAATATGTGTTCGGGACGTTTGCCTCAACGTTTCCGTTATCGAATAACATCTTTTAAACATTATTATGATTGGAATGCTTTTTTATGTGGTACAATGTAGGAGTTGGTATTATTATAATTGAAGGCTTATAATAAGTTGTTTTGGTAATCACAAAAACAGGCTCTCTAAATAGATTTTGAGTTTCTTGTATTGGATGTTCTGTTACGTGTGCCAAGAAATAATTATCAGGCAAAGTTACTTAACCAGGATATAGCAATTGCATGATTAAGAGAAAAGTACGCAATTATATGATAAAAACAATGAAAACAAATTGAAATGTAACAAGAAAAGCTATGTTACAACAAAACCTTTTTATCAACCCTCATTTATCGAAAGACATAGAGCTGTAGAAATTATTCATAGTTGGTGGTACTGCATAGCGGATAGGAAATACGAGTGTAATGTGATAAAGGTAAGTAGGTTTATACAGGAATATTTATTCATTCTTATTTATTTTTTGTATAATTCAGAATGTGGTGAATGATTATGATGTGATATGTACTGAAAATAATATAGACCGAGGCGAGACTATTAATGTTTCAGTACATAATTACATATCACATTGCATTCACCATCTAATAAGTTCATATGTGTTTCATTGTTCGAGTTAAAAATAAGCTTATATGACTGGTCAACCTTCAAATGAATACGACGAAATGCGTTGTTATTTTCTGCTAATTAACTATTTCAATCACTGCGCCGATCGGTTGTCAAGGTTAGTGTAAGACTCAAACATTTACTTGAGAAAATATTAAAATTTGGATTATTTTAGTAACTGTGTTTACCTTTTTCATCGTTGTCTTGGTTCGTGGGGAACAGTAACGACGTAATATAGTATAAACTGTATTTGCATAAAAGAAATAGTTCCTTTTTTGCATCGCACTAAACAAAAGGAGATAAATTCTAGAAGACGGATTTTCATCATTGATTAATTGACCTGGTGAGCAAGCGCTGTAGGAGCACATTTTGTCTCGGAGCACATTTGTCTTACGTAAGACCGATGCGGTCGTATTTGTCCCACATGAGACAAATGGGACCTCAAATGTCTACCCAAAAAAACTCATTTGTGTGACAAATGTGCTCCGATTAAGTTTTTTAAGGGACAAGAAAGCACATTTGTCTCATGTATTTTAAGGGATAAGAAAGCACATTTGTCTCATGTCATTTTTATGAATTATTTGTCACATATTTCCCCACGGCAGAAATTCTTTTTTTAGAATCGAGATTCGCCGTTTTACCTCAAGTGTAATCATCAATAGGGTTGCTTGTGCTTTCTTTATGAAAAACTAAAGTGAACTATTTATTATAATATCTCTAATTCAAGAAATTGATTGTCTTAACCTGAAGGCGTACACTGAAACATACTAAATCACGTTCACGATGGTACAATGGTGACAGTGCGATGGCACGATGATACGTTGATGAAAACGCGATGGTGCGATGGTGAAAACACGATGGTACGAACGTGAAACAACGATTGTACGATGGTGAAACAACGATTGTACAATGGTGAAACAACGAGGGCTCGATGATGAAAACACGATGGTGCGATGGTGAAAACACGATGGTACGAACGTGAAACAACGATTGTACGATGGTGAAACAACGAGTGTACGATGGTGAAACAACGAAGGCTCGATGATGAAAACGTGATGGTACTATGGTGAAAGACGATGTTACGATGGTGAAAATACGATGGTACGATATGATGAAACTGCGATGGCATGATGATGAAAACGCGATATTATTTTCTCTATCGTCGTGATTTCACCATCGTGTCATCGTGTTTTAATCATCGTACCATCGTACCATCTCTATTTCACCTTTGTACCATTGTGCATAGCTGTTCAGGGAGACAAAAATGTTACTTATGTCCAAACGGAACACCGTAATCGGTTGATATTGAATGATACAATATCGTGACTCGGTTCGCATCTCGCCGAAATCTCGCGTCTCGCGATTTCTCGCGTCTCGCCTCGCATCTCGTTCGTCGAGACAAGAAATTGATTCCAGGTCATATACCGCTAAGTAGTATTCCCTTTATAGTCTACATAAAATCACTTAAAGGCCCATTATGCCTGAGAAATGCTTTTATTTGTATTCCTCAAAAGCTTTTTATTTTTGGTATACTTTTATTGCTCCAAAAAAATACTCATTGGCTAATTACCTGAAGCATTTTTTCATCTGCTTCTTTAAGTAGTTTGTACTTTGTTTACATTTTGCTACTTTTATGACGCATTATTTCACATTTATCGCGAATTTCTTTTGGTTTATAAGCATCTGACATCCTCAGAAATCATTATTTGAATATTAATAAATTCATACTTGCCCTATCTAAATAAGTTAAAATTTATATTCATTTCTGAAATTTCGTGGTACATTGCGACATTGCGAGATCATTACAATATCGTTCCTCACTTCGTGACTCATCGGAATGTCGCGTCTCGCCTGATTCTGAGTGGCCCGATATTCCATAAATATGGCATTAACCGGATTATTATAGGAACTCATGCATGTTGTAAGTGCTTTTTCAATGGCGGATCTGAAAGCCGCAATTCTTGGAAAATGACGATTTTAATTCATATATTTCTAATGAAAACAAAATACGTGTGTAATGGTATTCTTATTTTCTTCCAAAGATCATTTAAGGGCCTCCGTGGCCGAGTGATTTTAAAAAACCACTTGCCAATAACCGGTAGGTTCGACACATACACGTGGCGTCGAACTATTCATGCGAGGATCCCGGTCAGGGTCAAAATGCGGAATACATATCCGCGTGCGGAAATAGTATCGCGTGGCCACGGAAAAGCTATCGTGTGCGCACGTAATAAATAAGAAAATTCTATGTCCCCTTTATGCCACCGTAGATACTACCTTGTTTTTGCTAAGAATATTTCCAGTGCCATAAATCATCCATAAAACCTGAAGCATTGAAAATAAACGTATCACAATTGATAACGATAAGAATAGACTTGCTGCATATGTGTTTAGGTTCTGGATGCTGCACTTGTAGAAATTTTCATTGTGACATGCAGAACAGGGATATTCTTTAATTTAATACATGACTCCTATGCAGAGGCAGGAAGTTTTTGACTGACCGGAAGTGACCTAAAACGGTATTATAAATACAGAAGACACAGAACAATGGCTGGTAACCGGAATACAGATGGGTATAGTTATTACCTTTTAAGAATTTTATGGGAAAATGTGAGACTAATGTGCTTCGAGTGTCCTTTCTATTTTGTGTCGAACACATCTGTCTCATTTCCAATTTGTCGTAAATATGAATGTTTACGAACACATCGGTCACACTTCGTGAGACAAATGTGCTCCGAGACAAATGTGCTCCTACAAAGCGCGTTGTCCTGATGTAAAACTTAAATATCTGTGTAGGTGTATGCAAAACTTAAAGTGACTTTGTCCAAAAGTATAACTTAATATGTTGAGTGTACAGTTAAAAGTCAAAATAATCTTAACCATGATACGTGATTCGCGGGACATTGTATAATTATCGTACCGAATATACGTATCGGTGACTTAAAAAAAAACATAAAAAGGAAGCGGCAGTCGTTTTATATCATACTTCTTTTATTTTTATTTCAAATATTGGTCAGTGACCATTATGATAGAGCATATTTCAATCACAACATACAACGTTCAAATTTCACAAAAAGTGACACCAAGAAGAGCTAAAAGCCATTACGTTATCCCGCCTTTTTACGTTTACACATCATTCTTTCATTCTTTAGAAATATGAAATATTATGTTAAAAACTGAGTTATACAGATGACGTTACCATGACTATTCGTGTTTATGAAGGTGAATATTTTTCCAGACCATACATTTTATTAGTTAAGCATGGAGCTTTGTAAACGTAAATCATTATAACGATCCTATTAAATATAAATGAATTTTAACCGTAGTCTACAAACACGGCACAATTGCCACGCCAATAATGGTCAAATTATCATAAAATAATCACCCCTTGAGCATCAAGAACAAAATTGCTATCCAGCAGCCGTTTACAATATAAAATATACACAAGGTATATAACTCGCCGTAGCGTTTTTCCCCGACCACAGTCAAAATTTTGCTCTCGTTGTTTTTTAAAATAAGACATATTTTCATACTTAAACGCGTAAACATAGCACAATTGATATAATGTTCAGTAACCGTTAAAAATTTTGATCCATCTATCATCATTTACGATAAATGAATTATCAAACGTAAAAAAACTACCTTAAAATTCCCAGGTCGACATATTTTGTGTCAACGAAATTTCCAAAATCATCACCAGTAAACATATGTTTAGCTGCTTGCCATTGGTAAGAAAGAATTTCATATACATCATCGACTAGGATAGGTTTATGTGGATAAAGCTCAATGAAGAGCCGGTGAGAGCATTGTGCGGCGTCGTTATGTTGATTGATTGATTTTCTTTAGACCGGGCGGTCAAGGATAACCTACGAAAGTGCAAACACTTATTTCCAGTAGGGTCCTTACCTCAGCATACTGTAGAGACAGCTATGAGATACAAGGGAATCCGGGAACCAGTCCCTAGATTCCTTGGTTCTTTTACATGCCCAGTGTATAGCACTGATGCATGCACAGGTTACCTGGGTTTCGTACCAGTAAACCTCTAGTTAGGTGGGAAACAAAAATCCCAAGGGTGTTACCCAGGATCGAACCCGGAACCTCAGGAGTGACAGTCAGTGGTCTAACCAACTGAGCTATCGCGCCACCTATGTTGCTCAAACCGCTTTCTTAATCACATATTTCAATTTTATTTCAGAATTCCCACGGTCTATACAATGGACATGAACATAAGTGGTGTCAACAGGGACAATAGGTCGTTGATTGATATAGATGATACTAGCAGCACGTTCGACAGGACAACCAACTTGTACGATTATTATTATAATTACACTAATTACATAAATGATACGGCTTATATGTCAAGTGCTTTAGATTTGATCACCATCATACTTTGTGTGTTTGGAATGGCTGCAAACTGCTTGTCTATCGTATTGGTGGCTAGGATCCATCAGATATTGACTACTCATTTAAAACTGATCATCAGTTTATGTGTGTCCGATGCACTTATTCTCGTTACGAATTTGTTGAAAACAATATACCTCATGACGGAAGGGTCAAATATTTGTGCCAACCTTACAGGAAGATTAATAATAAGCCTAGCACTTATTGCAACGCTTTTAAATCTATTTGGAATCGCATGTGATCACTACTTTGCAATAGTAAAACCATTAACGTACAGAGCCAAGATGTCTTCATTTCGTGCTAACTGTGGTATACTTATAATCTGGATTTTAAGTTCTGTTGGAGTTGGAATTGAAGTTGTGCATGGTATTATAATAGACAGGAGGGTACATGAAACATTGTGTCACGTGATAGCTTTCGATGATATCAATATCGATACTGTCATTGTTATTATTATTATTCTTGTCTTGGTTGTAATTTGTTTTATTTACGTCAGAATTTACATTCAAATTCATTTACGTAAATCATTACGTAGCAGACTGAAGCATAATCAGACTGACTCGAGCACTATAAAGGCTCTAATCACGACATCAATATTCGTCGGCACATTCATACTCTTCTGGACGCCTATTGGAATTTTCAATATAGTATTGTATAGTCACGTGATAGAAAATCTAGAATTGGATGACATAAGTCAGATTGGTGATACATTATATGTTGTTTTATTGTTAAATGCCATCGCAGATCCTATAATATATACCTTTCGTTTGCCACAAGTCCAAAAGAAATGTATGTTCTCAGTTGCCACGCGCACGTCAACAAGAAGAACTAGATCAACTTTTGAGATGATCATATGAAAAAACAGACGACAGTTACTCATAGATGAATTGTTTTGTTTCTATACGACTGGTTGTTTCTTAAGATTGATTGGAAACGGTAATTTTATCTGTTACATGCATTTAAGGTTAGATACTTTCACAAGGTTATTGTAATGTGTATATATAAAGACACCATGTCTTAAAAACCTAATATTCTAGATCGTTTATGACTGAATTATAGATATTGGTGTTCGGATTTATTTTCTTAGTTAGACCATTTTGTACTATTCTAGATAGTTTTTAGAATAAAATTCTACAAAAAGTTGTTTTTATTTATCAGTTGTTTCAAACAAAATGGCGTCGTCAATGTGTTGAATTGAAAATACCAAGGGAGGAAATAAGAACGGCGAGTGCATTGTTGGGAAATATATCACGCTTCCGGCCTTCTTTGTTTATATTAGAGAAATCTCCGATAGTGTTAGAATGTTATTTTGATTTTAAAACTATGTATTTATTTCGGGATTACTTTTATAATTTCACAGGATGTGAAAACAGGCTGCTTTCCGCAACTCGAACTAGGGACCCAGAATATCGTTCTGCAATTCCATCGATTCCACTCCCTCAATGATAAGGAAACAATTATAAACCGTGACATTCTTCATTTCTTTATTGTTATTTGTTCTCGATTTCTGAAGGTTACAGAAAAGACCTCGAAATAACTTCGAAGCTAAGTTCCATCATATCATAATGTCACAAGGACGAGAGAACTGTACAGCCTGACTGGACATAGAACACGCAACCTTGGAATATTGTACCGCAGCACTACTGACATATCTATTTTCTCCGACAGTTCTTTATTCTGACAATAATATCATAATAATTATCATCATTTTCAAACTTACAATTTTTTTATTATTTGAATTTAATTACTAGGCTTAAGTATTATCATTATCGTCATAATTATCAATCATCATCCTCAACAAAAATAATAACAAAATTTAACACTTGTCTAAAGCAGGTGGTATTTAGCTGGAAAACAGCTTAATATTCAAGATAGTAATCAATTATGCTGAACAAAATTTACTATTCAGTTCATTTGATAATATTACAGGAACAGAACAGAGTTTATTTCATAACTTGCACGCACATAGGAACATCGTTATAACAAGCATTTTGAAACACATGTTTTACAATACATAAAGAAAAAAATCAATACTGAGCAATGGGATATTTAAAACATACAATGCAAAACATCACATCCATTTATCAATTATATATTTATATCTGGACATTACTTCTGTAAATAATTAAAGGAGAGCACTAAGTTTAAGCGGAGAACACACTATAACGTCGCATTTAATCGAATTTGTTTGACAAAATATTTACTCAATATAATATAAAGAACACCACAGTATATACAATCAAAACAACGTCATAATACTATTGAAGACTTCTAGAGTTATCATTTCGTCTGATGTTTGCCTTTTAAAATAATAAAATAAGTTTGTAAGTACTTTATGGCTTTTAGATTGTAGTAATTCTATAACTTTGGCCATACTAGGCCGAATGTAAAAATAACGCTGCGTAGATTTTCATAAGCATTGCATTTTAAAACAAAATGATACTCGTCTTCGAGCTCGTAAGCATCACCGAATTGACACGTTCTTTCGTGACTTTCCACACGGCATTGACCATGCCTTCCGCACTGTTCTGTTTTGATAATATTACAGGGAGATTTTGTGATATTGTTATCAACACAAGAGATTACTTTTATTTTTTTATATCTAATTCACGTCATAGCACAAATGGTCTGAAGTCAAGCAAAGGAGTCAGGCATACTTATAGCTCAAAAAATCAAACAATAATTTTAGATCATGTAACTATATCAATAGATTTTGCAACTTAAATATGCTCAAGAATGTTCTAAATTTGCTAGAACACATCACAGAGTTGTCACTCGTTATGATGTCTGCTCACTTGCTTGCAAGGCGTACTCATTTGCTCTAAGTCCTTTAAATTTACAAGCTTCTTTCAATAAGGCAGGCATTTATCCATTCAAGAACTCGTCCTCTATGGTTGAACTTTTAAAAAGTAAAATCAAACCATCTGAACTTTACATAGTTGATGATGAAGTGACAGCATCAGGAGATCACAAAAAATCTGAAACAGCAGAAAATAACTTTTTTGATAAGAAAGGTGGTGATGTACATATAAAAATCATGAAGAAAAAACGTAAAAGCATTAATAGTATTGTTGGTGGAAAAGCATTGGAAGGTGAAACTGTAGAAAAAATGAAAAAATACATTGATGAAAGTAACAGTAAAATTAGTTCAAATGATCCTAAAAAGAAAAAAACTTAAACTCCTAAGAACAAAAAGAATTCAGCCACCAGCTTCAATCTTCAAATAAATGATAAATAAAAGCCAGGTCCATCCAAACAAAACATTGAACTTTCTGAAAAATCAGACCTCTCTGATAGTGAAAATGAATCCGAAATACCTGATGAAGATAAGTGTTGCCAATGTCATCAATATTATGTAGACAAGCATTCCCATGGTGCAATAGAATTCACCCACTGGGCACAGTGTGATAATGCTACTTGTTCCCATTGGGTTCACCTTAAATACTGCTCTCCAGTCCGTGTTGTGAGAAAGAATACAGTGTTCTACTGCAACTGTTGTTTATAGCATGTCAACACTGGGCCACCATACTTAATACAGCCTCGTTTTGAGATTTATCTCGAGTTATCGAGAATTCAAGACGCCATTTTGGAAATCCTTTTTTGACAGTTGTTATATTTTTTGAAAATATTTTTTATTCGTTATTTCATTGATTGTTAACAATTAAAAAACTTAAAGAGAATATATTTATGGATTCAATGATGTATTTAGAATAAAGGTGAGTCTTTTTTCCATTTGTTGTTTTTGCATTTTATTGTTACATTATCGAGAACCGAATATTTCAGGATACACATATTGCAAAATTAACACAATTAATATGCACCGACAACGGTTACACGTGTTATGTATGTCCGATATTTCACACAAACATTTATGTTGTCCTTTGGGTCATATCATAGTGTTACGACAACGGTTGCATCAAGCAACTATTCGATTAGCAATTGACTGTAATTTTAGCACTCCGTCACCCAGCATATAACATTTGTCCCAGTAATGACGAAGTGTTGTGTGATAGTTGACTCCTGAAATGTGAAACAAAGTACAGCAGAAAAAAAGGTTGCGGAGGATGGAAAACTAAAAACCTAGTTTAAGATTTTTACAAAAAAAATTAAAATATGATCAGCGGCTTCATTTCTCATAGAGTTCCAGAACGAAAAGTTGAGCTGAACAAGCTTAATATTTTAAAAGATTGACTATATTGTATTATAATGCTGAATAACCAATATTTAGGAACAAAATCCGTTTGACACTTAGCGCCTTGCCAATCCACTTTCAAAGGAATACCAATTGTGTTATATTATGTAATACATGGGTAATAAAATTTATCTTTAACACCCTGCTGTTTCAATTTAAATTACTGATGAAAAAGTCATTTAATGATACATTGAACACTTGAACAGAGGATTTTAGGTAATTGAATTATTAGTCCCGCTAATTTTGTATATCGTGTTATAAATATCAATTCACGTTTCAAGTTCTAATCGCTTTAATTCATCCCAATAATTCTGTTTTCTGAGTGTCATAACTTGTAATCACGTTTTTGAAATCCTTCATTTACGCTAAATGAGTCTATCTTTATTGCTCTTTATTGCGCTTTTGCCTTACGCAAAGCGCATGCGCAAAATGCAACATCGGTTGCTATGGAAAATCGTACAGTAAAAAAGGTCTATAGCAGTAGTATAACTATGGTAAATAAATGATAGATATGCAGCAGATTTGTGAAATAATTAACTAATTTGAAAATTTCAAAAATATGTCTGGAATGTTTAGTTTAATAGGAATATATAATCAAGTTTATTAACATTCCGTTTCTCTGATGGGAAAATGATAACGTTCTGAATAATTCAATTATAGCATTTGTTAAAGGAAATCGGAAAAAAGAACAAATTGCAATAAACGAGTTGAAATAAACGCTTTGAAAAAAAATCAAGAATCTACTGTATTCTGCTAAATATGTGGCACAAAACTTTTGGAAATCTAGAATGTTAGTGAACAAAAGAAAGATAGGGGCATTTTAAATAATTATATGATTTCACGTATACACGATTTCAACTTCAGATAATCGGTATTGAAATTTTGATTCCTGCAACCAAAATTGTAATCTCCAGAAGTTGAAATTGTGAATTTTTGAGAATTCGTGAGTTCAGATAGTTTAACTTAAAAAATGATCAATTTGTGAAGTCAAAAACAATAAGTGGTGAGATGGACATCACGAATACATGAAGCTGAAATGTCCCCATCGGTCTTTCATAATAAAATGGAATATGTTTGTTGCATTTAGCATTGTCATCATTAATAAGTCACTATAATGTATGACTGGTTGATAAAAAATGCCGTATTTTAATTGTTTGATTTCAATTTATCACGTCAAAGTTATTTAGATAAAATTATTTTCTATTTTATCTATCTTTATGGTATATTATGATATTCAAAGAGAAAATAATCCAGAATATAAAAAGAAATGATAAAATAAGCGCATGTTCACTGTTGCACAATAAAATGTCATGATAGACAAGTGTTTATTTCAAAAATATAGTTTATGCATTGTATTGCGTTGTTATACTTTACATACCTCTAGGTCTGTTATTCGTGGATTTAATGTAATGCAAATCAAAAATCTTTTCACAATTTCTTTGATGTTTTCTCTTTGAAAAAAAAAAAACATGCTAGAACAAATAATGATTATATGATGTGCTTGAAGACAGTTATGTTGTGCAAGAAAATCGGAGCACAATAAAATTCAAAAATTAGATTTGTTTTAAATTAAGTATGTTTGAAATAACAATTTTCCGAGTTTTATAAAAGTATGTGAAACATATTAAGGTATATGCACATTTGTTAAATAAAGTGAAGTATCATTTAAACCGTGTTTGCTTAATTTCACATTAAGTATAGTAAAATACCTGATAGAGTATAGAATATTTTACAATAATCGGTTATCACAAATATTATACGTTAGATTTTTATCAATACAAAAGTATTTAGATATAAAACAAAGTAAACTTAGACATTGTATTGTATGTACTACTTAAAACATCACGCGGGGGGAGACGGACAAAACCCTTAAACGTCAAAACCACCAAACCTCAAAATTTTATAGAGTGGACAAAACCCC